GCGGATATCGAGTAGATTAGACAGTTAAGGCAACGTTACGAGAGTATTGAGACGCTTAAGCTGGTGAGGTAAGCAATGATCGTGATAGTAGTAATGATGATAAGAGCAACTAGAGAGAGCAGGTGTAACAAAGAGTAAAGGGAAATAAACAATAAAGTACAAACAGACAAGGGTACGGTATACAGTAAATATCTGCCTTCCGCCAACTACGTCTACTAGGATGCTTACCGCTGCAACCCGGGGACATACCGGGCGTGGGGACCACACACACCGGAGACCCTCACTTGGTTTAGCCCGCTGATTGAGGCGGGGAGCCGGGGGGTGGCCGCCAGGCAGGGCTTAGCTCCGGGGAGCCACAAGTGATGCTGGGAATAGTGCCAGTGTTATTTTTATTATTGGTGGTAGTAGCAGTAGTAAAGGCGGTATCAGCTGGAATGCTTGGTGTCTTTCATTACGACACTTATCTTGGTAGTTGAGGGAGGTCGTACCTAAAAAGTACTACCCTGAGCAGATTAAAAGTTACACATAGTTCTGACACCTAAATTCGTATTTTTGAAGACCAATACTAAAGGCACAATCTTAGAGGCAAGAGAAACCTGCGGTTCTATGTATCTCCTGTTAGAACTAGTGTCTGAAGATTCAACGCTTGTCGGCCACTCTTTTTTATTTGTATACTTTTGTTCGGGTCAGCTTGAGCTCCTTTGTTTGTTTTTTTAAGGTCATTCGGCACTGCCGATTTGTCTGGGTAGCACAACACAAATTGGTTGTGCATACCTTGTTTGACTGTAGACTTGGAAACCAGTTGTTATTAGTCTAAAAAATCCTTTCACCTTCTTACGCGTTAATCCACAGTTCGCTTCTGCAAAACTTCCCCTGTAGCTCACTAAGCTGCTTTCGGATTTCTTCGGGATTAAACTGCAATTCAATCTACTCAACTCGGTGATCGTTTGCACGTGAACACTGCCAACTCCGTGAATTCGGCATCTCTTAGGTCGACAATCGTAAGCACCCCATAATAGCAGAGGTACATTAAATAACAGAAAATGGACAAAATCACCATATAACAGTTGAGTAAAAAGTATTTGCTTAAACCTCAACAAAGAAGGAGGCTTTAAGTGATGCACCGCAATCTGTTCGTCATACTCAGACGTCCCGAATACGATTCCCCCTATTGCCATATACTTGTGGCTGAATTTAGAAAATCGCCGACGGACCCACAATTCGGCGAAGAGTTCCGTTCAATAAGTCATTAGGCTTGTACGGTCGCAACTCTCCACGATGCATTCGGGAGCTGGCAATTGTGAGATGCAAGCCACGAAATACTATAAATACTGCAGCGCTTGGACAATCTAATACCCTTATTGGACTCCGTCTCCGGGACTGGATCCCAGTGAGGATCCGGATGATCAGGCTAACAATGCTCTTGTTCCTCGTGATCATGTCTCTTTCTACGCGTATTATCTTACAGAAGTG